TAGCATCTGGATGCACGTATTGTTTGTGAAGGTCCATGTAAGGCAATCTTTTTGACAACTCTACATTTTCCCCAAAAAAATCTAAAACATCTTTGATGGTTAGTACTCCTTCCTATGCCTGCATTTGAAAATGACACAATCTGCCAGATGTATTGCTGCAGCTGAACTTTCCTTGTGCAAGACCAGACGATGAGGAAGAAAGTGGGTATAAATTACGCTTGTGTTTCTTTGGTCCTAGGATGAGCTTCCAGCACAGAGGCAGTACCGGCAGCTACAAGTCCCTGAGAGGTTGTGGCAGGCAAGCTACGAGACCCCATATGGTGTGAGAACCCATACTATCTAGGGGTATTGCAGGTTGCATCGGCTTTCCGGCTATGTTGCATGGCCAGAACAGTAGAGATGAGCTGAACTGACTCCAGGATTGAACACAAAACTCTGTTCATCATTCCCAAACATTTAACATAATGGGGAAAATTTATCTTACTTGTCTGAAGTAAGTGGAGTATAACAAGGAACTAATGCTACTAAGCAAAAATAGAGATTTTTTAAAAAGATACCTATTATTCCATTATATGGTCTCTGATTAGCACCATTCAGAGGTAGTGGACATATGGATCATTATTAAGAAAATGTAAACAAGACAATTTGAACATTGTTTTGCAGAGTTAGTTCAATTCCCTGAAAAAAGGTGTGTAGCTGTGCACCTTACTGTCATGTCCAGTTACTGAGACTGAACTGCATGCATTTGGATGGAGTTTCTTGATGGTTGGTTGTGGTTTTTTTTAATTGTCTTTTGACATTCAAACCTAATCTCTAATCATGTTTATATTTGGCTTCAAGATCTAAGATTTCTGTAATCAACTAAGTTAAGTGCTTTTCTCAATATCCACAGTTCTGCAGAGTGTTTAGGTCTGCAACAGTTTTCCATTGTTCTTTCCATGCGGTATTTCTGAAAAAGGCTTTGATTTTGCCTTTGAAATAAACCTCCTAATCAATGCGGTGTTCAGAGAGCACTGTTCAGTAGCCACTTCGGTTCAGAATATAAAAGATGATAAAACAATTTTAGGTTTGGCCCCTTATTGAAGATAAACATGAAGTTAGTCGCTAACCGGTAGAAAAATGAGCAAAAATCAGAAACCTTTCACAACTGACAACTGAAAAGACACATCCCAAAATATTAATCTTTAATTGATGCATTGTTCATTCTTGCAGGGTTTTCTTGAAAGGGATTATCTTGGGAATGCCACCAATAGCATTAAATGATACTTATTTGTGTTATATCTGGTTTAGCCCTTTATATATTTATTATACCTGAAAATATATTTTCTTAGAGACCTTATAACAGCATTTCTGCATTATCAGTTCATTTTGTTCTCCTCTTTCCTGGATATATTAGCCAGGAAAAGGAATTCCCAGTCTGTAACAGACAGATTAATTCACACATTTTACTTTGTCCACATAGAAAAATGCAATTTCTGGATCATTGAGGCATATGGATTATGAACAAGCCACTCCAAAAACTAACTATCCAGATGGGGATATACTTACAGAAATCTTTTATGTCAAAACCAGAATTTCACAACGCAACACGCTAATGCAAAATCCAGTAGCACCTGAAAGATTAAGGTACCTGATGCTATCACTTGCACATACAGCAAGTGTATTTCAAAATAAAAAGTGTATTTTTGGGTTTTTTTTGGATTTTTTTTGTTGAGTGTTTCTTTTAGTTTTTTTGGTAATTCTTTTTTTTTGCAAGACTAGTTGCCATATAACAAGTTATACGTGATGTGACTGCTCTCCCCTCTTGTGCAAGTTCACAGTCATGTTTTCAGGCTATAGTACTCAACACTTTTTTCTCATATACATATTCCCATAGTTTCATTAAAGATAGATACAATGCATAATGCCTGTCTCTGGGAAAAGCAATGATTCAAATAGGCAAACTTTTATCTTAAAACAGAAATGGAGAGGCTATGGTAGGTATAACCACCTAAGTATGAACTTCAGGTTACAATTTCTAAACACTCACCTACTGTAAATAAACATTAAAAATACTCTTAGCAATAGGGTTTTATTTATATTTGCATGTATGTCCACCTTATCCTACATTTATGTTTGACAATTTAGAACATTAGGAAAGAATTTTTCACAGAAAGAGTGGTCGGGCATTGGAATAGGCTGCCCAGGGAGGTGGTTGAGTCACCATCCCTGGATGTGTTTAAGAGCTGTTTAGATGTGGTGGGGAATATGGTGTAGGGGAGAACTTTGTAGAGTAGGGTAGATGGTTGGACTTGATGATCCCAAGGGTGTCTTCCAACCTAGACAATTCTATGATTCTATGATTCTAATTATTTGAGAATTTAAAGGTGCAGCCCTCAATAGTTGTATTATTTTTAAAAAGGAAAGGAAGCATATCTATTGAGAAAAGACATTCTCAAATATCAATTTCCAATTCTAAATTTAATTTAAATAGGAAAATATTAAAAATGTGCACATCTAAATTTTTCCATGTTCTGTATATACATATGTGTGTACATATAGATAGAATTGCACTTCCACAGATGTTATGACAACTAAATGTTGTTGACATCACATCAAGGACACATCTGGTTTACAGCAGTGCAAGTGACAAGAGAATCAGGCCAAAACATACCCAGGTAAATTAAAATCTGGTTGTATCTGCTCATCTGAACCCGATGAAGTTATACACACCACCGTCTAAAATCCACCGAACGAAAAACGTAACTCACCACAAAGTTTTCAAGCAGTAGCATGTTGAACCAAGCTCCCCCTGCCCTTTTAATAAATAAAATAGTTGAGAAAATACCCTAAAAATATGGAGAAAACTTAAACATTGTGTACATTACATACAGTATAATACATGATGGTTTAGTATTTGACCTAAACCATTTTCCTGACTAGTCAGAGGACACCTGATAAATTAATGGCAAAAAAAACCCCAACCCAGTATTTTAGAAATAAAGCATGTATTTCTGATATAAATGAGAACCTGTGTGTATTATATGGTATATACACAGAGTACACACATAAAAACAAACTTATCTTTTCTAGTTTTGAATAGCAGTCTCTAAGTGGAGAAAATTGTGTTATACAAATTTAATAAGCAGCTAGACTTCATGTTTAACATTCAAATTAATTTGGGGAGCAAACAAAGGTCAGTGCATCTTTCGACTTTGAAGTCTGACACTCATTCATATGTTTTAAAAAAGCCCTCTTCAACATTACAAGCAATTTATGGCAAAAATGTACTTTGATGCAAGACACATAACACTTGGCTTACCTTTCAGAGTTTGTTTTTTTTTTAAATAAATCTGTTATATAAAGAAATGCATGTTTGTCAAAAGTCTGTTAAAATTACATCAAAACAACTTTAAAACCTGCTCACTGAGGATTAAATTTCCAGTTTTAAAACAGTTACCAGTTCAGAATATTGCCTGGTGTAGTTTCAATAAAGATGTGATATGAAGACCCATAAAAGAGTAAACATGTCTCCATTTCAATTTGTTATGACAACAAAGCTTCTAGAAACAGCTTTCTTGGCTGGACAAGTTCAGTGTACGAGTAATCCCTTGCAATAGCTCTATTCCCTTAATGCATCTGTAATAAACAATGCTCCCCATAAGCCGTTATTCACAAAACCTGAAATTCATGTGACATTCTGAAAAAGTCTCCTGCAGAACAGGTTAACAGTTAATTGAACATAGATATTTGATATATGTATCATGTCCAGAAAACAAACAACTGGCTATTTTTATTATCTGTGCATGTCAAATTTTACATTTAAAATTCTCAGGGGTTTTTTTGTCTTTTTTTTTTTCTTGGGGTACTCATCTGTCATCATTGGTTGGCTTCAAACTATAGGTAAGTGGAAGATAGTATCTGACTGTAATTACATGGAATTAATATGAAAAAGTAAACCTTACATTGGACCCTTGCAATAGCTCTATTCCCTTAATGCATCTGTAATAAACAATGCTCCCCATAAGCCGTTATTCACAAAACCTGAAATTCATGTGACATTCTGAAAAAGTCTCCTGCAGAACAGGTTAACAGTTAATTGAACATAGATATTTGATATATGTATCATGTCCAGAAAACAAACAACTGGCTATTTTTATTATCTGTGCATGTCAAATTTTACATTTAAAATTCTCAGGGGTTTTTTTGTCTTTTTTTTTTTCTTGGGGTACTCATCTGTCATCATTGGTTGGCTTCAAACTATAGGTAAGTGGAAGATAGTATCTGACTGTAATTACATGGAATTAATATGAAAAAGTAAACCTTACATTGGACAATAGTGTAGAACACCAGAGTAAGCTCCATAAAGAAATACGGTATCTTCCAGTGTGTGTGTTTATATATATATAAACAAAACCCCCAACCAACTAACCAAAAAACCCCCAAAGGAAGAACTTTATACAAACAGTTATAGTGACTTTGTTTCAATTAAAGATGCAACTCTCTCTCACTCCTGGCAAGAATAAATTGGTAACGGCCCTGCTGCTCCAGAGTGGAAAGTATCCTGAGAAATTATTAAGAACAACAGAATACAGGGCTGTCATCACTAAGTTCTTGCACAAAACACAGCAATCAAATATCTTAAATAAATAAAATAGCAGATAAACTATATTGTATCTATCACAAAAAGGGAATGTGACCTGGGACACTGCCAATTACTCTATCATTGATAATTAGAAAAGGATAATTAGAAAAGGATTCAGTTATTGTTAACATCTTTCAAGTTATCTATGGCCAATAAGGTACAAGGAGGTAATTTGTAATTCAAGTTTGTTGTTTTTTTCTTCAACTAGCTACAAGCTGAGTTCTAAATTTTACATTGAAATATGACTCAAATTTAAAACAAGCCCTCTCAGAGGAGCATTTCCTAATTTTGTGCAACTTTGATGCAGAGCCCAACACAGTCCTATGAAGAGAGACAGTGCATCTTTAAGCAGATTGACACTGAAATCCCATTTTCTTTAGCTGCAATCTATTAGCTTGGCCAAGTTATTGCGTAAATCTGTTAGTTCAAGTATTTTTCCATCAAGAATTTCTAAAAGTGTCTTCAAGTTATTGCGAAAAGCTTCTTGCTCATTCTGACTTTTCTCCACACGTTGCTCTAGATCAGACAGCTGGCCTTCCAGGTCTTTGTTTTGAATTTCAACTTCCTTCAGAGAAAATATACAACATGTTAATGTGTTGTCTGCAAACAGAAAGCACTTTAACCTCCTGATGGTATTCGTGTGCTATTTTTGTCATCTGGTTTATGAAACAATTTGTGATTGTGACTCTTTACAGTTTCCACTAAGCCAAAACCAGAACCCAAATTGTTATTAGGATTACATATGTATTATCATTTCCTTCATTTTTTTTCAGTAATTCATCTGAAGGACAGAAACTTTTGGACAGGGGTAAAATTTAGTCAGTGAACAATGGATGAGGTGTTCAGGTAAGTTATTGCTTCTAGCATTCAGAAATATGCCACCTACTGAAAACAGCTTCTCAAAGATTTACTTAAGTTCAAGTATTCCCTTATTTAGACTACATGAATTGCTCAAGTACACAGTCCCCATTAAATGGTCTCATCCAGAATACTACTTTATGGATGGAGGAGTACTACCTTACTCCTGTCCCACATTATAGGCCTTTTCACCCTGAAAATTGACAGAAACATAAACTAGCAATACTGATGTCAAGGCGAAATTGATTTTAACAAATTTAAACTAGCAAGTTCAAGCTGAATGTCATGTCTTGTTGCACTGTGCCCTGGAGCTCCCACCTGCAAACTCTGCAGTAGTGCAGCTGTGGGAGCAGGTAAAGCACGTGAGCCACCAGTGCTGTACAGACAAGCTGTTCCCATACAGCAGGTGGGAACAAAGCAGCAGCATGCTACACCTAGCTGAGGGGATCTGACCCTGAGCAAGCTCAGCTCTCGTTGACAAAGAAGAGAAGCCCCTCTGTGCCAGCCAGCAGGAGGGGAGCGCTGCCTGCTGGGACCTCTCACAGCTCTAGCTTGCGCATGACAGGAGGGAGGTCACGACTGCTCTGCTTTGTGCAAACTGGATGACCTCTCTTTCATCAAATTAATAATGTAGCAGTCACATGGGTCTGGAATAGCATATTGTTATTTATCTCATTCATTGCTGAATTTCATCATTTCAGTTATGAAAAACACTCTCAAAGGTAGCACAGAGACAGTGTATTTAGTACACCATACACCTTGCACAGCTGTTCTCTGGAAAAGTGCATAGTGAATTTGTATTTACATACATTGACATTTTTTAAACACCATTTACCTTTACAGTGGCTTTGTGTCACAAAGCTTTAATGCGCCTGCTCTGAGTTTTTTGACAACTAGTTTCACACAGACATAGGGTGGGTGATTTGGCAGCAGTCATTCCTTACAACGTGAGCTTTCTTTCTGCCCTCCCACTCTCCCACTGTTTTTGTTATGATTTTTCTGTCTCCCTCAAAGCTAACAAATACATTAAGGTTTACATTGGAGAGATCTCAGCTAAACATAAGAAACAACCTGAGCCATACAGAATATGTATTTGGGCAGTCAAGAGTAACAGGTATAAAATGGCTGTGGCCTTTCCATCTGTAAGGGGTGTGATGGCAGCGTCGATTGGCTGCCACACTCCTGGCCAGAGTAGGAGATGATGTGGCCAGAGCTCAGTGTCAGCTCCCAGCCTCTGCAGGGGGGAGAGCTCTGGGACCCCCAGCGGCAGTGCAGGTGGAGAAGGCAGAGCTTTGGGGACAGGATCTCCTCATAGCTGTGGTTGCTTGTTCAGCCAAGGGTTATATCCAAGCTGAACTGGACTACCTCCCTCACTTCTTGTTTGTAAATGAGCACGTTAGTTAAAAATTACAGAGTTTTGGCCACTGGTCTCGAACAGCACAGCTGAGAGCAGGACCAAGAGAAGAATTAGGTTAATCTGTTTAACACTGAATAATATAGTTGACAAAGCATTAAAAGAAGCTAACTGAAAAGAGTATTTGTAGAAATAATATAAATTAAAATACATAAATGCTTATGTAAGGATTAACTACCTCACTGTTGCTATAAATGAACAAGCTGATTATAACCTGAGTCCATACACTATATAGACTCTCCTTCATTGACTCTACTCCTCCCCTCCAAAAGGTACTGACAGTGTAATGACTGCATGGGTTCAAGACCCTCTGAGGCCGAGTGACTGCAGTACAGGAACACAAAGGGAAATTCAGGGTCCTCTCAGCTCTCCAAGGAATGATACAGTCCTTTCTTTAGCTCACACAAACCCAACTGCTGTTTTTCCACGTTTGCTCACGCTTCCTGCTTCTCCTGTCACTGCTCCTCTTCTACTTGCCAAATACATGTGCTCTAGGAAGTCTCCTTGCCACTGCTCTTACCCAAGATAATTAATTTTTGTAAGTAGACAAGCTTGTAAGTAGGGATCACTTTGGAACAAATCCATGGATATGTATATGGTTTTATTTCATGAAATCTGGGCCTGAAGAGCAGCCCATTGGCCTGTATCTAGCACTGAACATCATCTTTCAGGCCCTCCTCAGATGCTCTTAAACTGAGGAATTGTTCTGCTGTGAGTTGTTAGGTGGGAGCACCCAGGTAAAACCAAAAGCTTTATGTTAGATGTAGGAAATTCTACCCATATTCAGCAAAAGGTGTTTCCCTTTAACTCTCTGTTGCTAGTTCTTGCCTTCCCTTCTTTTGTTTAAACTTCCAGCTTGTTTACTTTATTTATAGTCCATTCTTGATACCTCTTTCCTAATCCATATACATTTAGCTTCCCCAAACACTTCCTCAGATATACTTTCTCCCATACTTTCTTATGTTTTATTTTCCCTAACCTGTGCTTAACATATTTAATGACTTATGGGAAGTAGAACTAACTGAAATATGCCATGAGTTGTTGCCTTTAATTTCTGGAAAACACTTATTCCCAAATTTTACATTTGATCCTTACACATATTTACCCTAGATTAGCATTGCTGATTTTTGCAATAGTATTGCATTACAAGTTCATATCCAGCTCATGTGCATTTTCCTATTACATGTCAGTGTACCTCAAAACTGTTACTTCTTGATGGGAAGAAATGGAGAGGTGTCCATGGGATATAATCTATTCCTCTAGTTGTGTCATTTAACTTTATTTGCTATTAATCTCATCTAATAATAAACTAACTCTTTACAAGGTTTCTTTTACACTGTTTTTTCAAGCTTTTCTTACAGTGGGGAGAATAATTTGTCATACATTGTTTTGTTTTAGAAAAGAAATTATTATAACAAGTTATGTTTGTTGTTTGCACTGTTTTGTGGAATTCAGTACAAGGATCCAAATAAAATATTCAAAACATACACAACAGCTATATTTAGGAATCAGACACAGTAATAAAGATATCCTGACTTACTGCAAGAGTCACACTGATCATGACTCATTGATAGGTCTTCTCTACATTGCTAATGAAATTATTAAGTAACGAGGGCCGTGATACTTACCATTCACAGTGATAACATACTGCTCTTCACTAGAATTTGCCAATGATGAATTTCCAATTCATTCCCTGATATGAGTGTGTCAGAAATGTAATTCACCTTGAAATAATAATTTCTTTGCATATAGATTTTCATACAGGCTATATTCCAAAATATTTTAGACTTACATAATCCATTTGCAAACACAAGAGGGAAAAAATAAAGCAGAAGAAAAAAGAGTGAGAAGAACAGATATGGACCCTAGAGACAATCACCCTGAAAAGAGATGATGAGTTAACTAAGTGAACCAATGTGAGATGCTGTCATGGTTTGGGCTGGACTGGCCACTGAAGCGAACAACAGATGCCCTCCCCCAACTCTCTCTCCAAGGAGAGGAGGGAGAGAGAGTAAGAGACTTATGATTTTAGAAGGAACTAAACTACTTTAATGAAAAATTAATAAAATAATAAAAATAAAATAATGAAATATATACAAAACCAGTATCAAGCTCCTAGAATGGTGGTCATGTCACCAGCAGGCACGGGGAAATCCCAGACTGGACTCGGCGAGGGATGGGAACTGGGTTCTGGATCTGGATTCAGGAATGCATGGATTGGGATCAAAGGCAGATGACCAAACAGAGTCCTCTTTGGATGCCAGCCATTGAAGAAAAGAGATCTGACCCTTTGATCCCTCAGCTTTTACACTGAGCATGAGGCAGATGGGATGGAATACCCTGTTGGTCAGTTTTAGGTCACCTGTCCTGTCCGCTCCTCCCCACAGGTGCAACCTCTCTACGCTTTTCTGCTTCCGACCCTCCAACGGGGCAAATAACAAAGTTGGTTGGCCTTGGTTGTTATAGCAATAAGTATAAGCAAGAGCCTCTCTGCATACCATTCCTTGGCATAAATTACGAATAATTAGGGCTTATCACTTTGAGAATGAACAGTGTCTCAACAATATGCTGTCAATTTCAGAGAGTTTCGGCAAGTTCAGTTAGTTAGAAAAGGCTTAGCTGCAAAGTAAAATTACTGAATAGAAAATGTGTTCTGTTTTACCTCAAACCAGGACAGATGGTTAGTCTGGAGCTACAGAAGAAAACACCATTTCACTGATGTCACAGATGTAGGGTGAAGTGGCTCAGAGAAAGCCAGTATGACCAAAGCAGGAAGATTATAGCAAAGCAAAGATTCAAGATCTTTTAGGCAGGCTGCATCAGGTCAGTAATAAGCTTTAAGCTGAAGAAAGACAACTTTTAACTTGTATCCTAAGACAGCTTTAAATTTATTTGAACATAATCATATGGAACCATTTTCAGAAGCTGATCGTCTACAGCGTGGCATATGGAAATATATACATAATATATCCATTTGGTTACTAAAGATATAAATATACCCAAAGGAAGCTACTGACTTTATAAAATATAGTTTTTAATAAAACCTTAGCATTTTCTAATTCTAAAACATCTTTCATCTCTTACTAGTCTCTCATAATTCTAAGGATAGCTAGTTCTTGGTCATTATTACTTTTCATGTGATCTTACACTGAAATTATTGCATATGCTACTGCTAGAACAATTTACAACTTTCATTATAATCTTCCTTTTGAGTCTCTCGGATAAGTTCCTTTTCAGCTGAAAACTCCTATGCTTAGTCTAAAGCCAGCAACAATTTTTGGAATAGTGGAATAGGCAAGCTCAGGTGTATTCAAAACAGTCTTTAAAGAAACACTGAAATAGCATACTTTTTCCAAATAATTTGACTAAAGAATGGGGAAAAATGAATAAACTCATTTTGTTCTTATGTGTTTTATTCTGTAGTTAAAATAAGATTCAAGGAAGTTCCAATTCATGTAATGCATTTCAAAGAATATCTGCTTAACAATTTTTAAGTTGTGGGTAGTCTGACAGGGCTTGTTTTTAGCATGATTTAGGTCTAGCTGCAGAACAGGGAGGGTCACCTTTCAGCACTTTGGATTTGGAGCTATTTAATACCTGAGTTTCCATTCCTATCAAAACTCCGAAGTTTGAATTCAGAGTTTAAACCCAACTAAGCTTTGGGTCAGCCTCATTCAGAAGACAGGTTTCACAAGGGAGGCGTGTTTTTGCCAGCTGGTCAGCCCAGAGACAGAAGGACAGGAGCTCAGACACAGCAAGTGAGGGTACACTAAAGGCATACTGCTTCCTGTAGGCTGAGGTATCTGGCTTTGTGCACAGTAAAGAAACAACCCAGAAAAAACAATAAAACCACAATGATTCTAATTCCAAGAAAATGTCAGAGCGTGTTTTTGAAGTCTGTACTACACAATAACGCTTTAACCTTTAATTTCTCATATCACCTTTAAAAGCTGAATACAAACTCATCCCAACATGATGATACAGAGCCTGACAGTTCAGTGGCACACAAGACCTATAGGAATACACTGCAGTGAAAATGAGACCAGAATTGCCTAGAACATGTATCAATGAAGCACATCTGCTAGCCTGAGCATATTCTGTGGACTTGTAAATGAAATTTGGGTCTGTTCCCTCAGGAAAAAATAACGACTTAGAGCAGGTGGAAATTTAGGTACAAATTCTCAAGGAGCATCCCAACTCACCACTTCACAACACAATGTAACTTACATATGTATCTGGCACCTTCAGTGAATATAGCACGAGATGCTGATGTGAATTGCTCACTTGATGATCATTTTTCCCTTCTGTCTAAATTAAGATGATGTACTATAGCTCACCTGTAACTTCTGGGTCAGAGTATCTCTCTGTGCCTGGAGCTCTCTGGAACTGTTGATTTCTTGTTTCAGTCTTTCTATTTCCTAAGGGAGAAGAAACAACCTTGCTAGCAACACATTACCTGGCTTGGCCTCAGTGCAGGTAAGCTGGCTGTTCTTCTGCTAAGCAAGCCATCGCAATGATATCAAAACTGGCAGTTAGCTACTGCCCATCATAGCACATGAAGTTTAAGCCCTGCTTTAAATATTCCTGAATCGCAGTCCCAAAACAGCAATTCTATTGTGAATAAACAACAATACAGATAAGTATTTTCTTTTCTATAAAAGTCCAAGTCTTTTTCTCCCACACAAGAGATCTGAAGTAATGTTTTCCTACAAAATTGTCCTTGTAATTAGAGAAACAATTTTATACTTTAAATCCTATTATATTCTATCCTCCATTGTTTCAAGTGAAAAATCCAATTTTCATCTGTGAGCTGCTTATTATGTCACTAGCAGCAGGACTGACATCAAAAAATTGCCTGCTTTGACCACTGATTTCTGTAAAATCAGAATATAAAAGAAATGGTATCTTTAATTGAGAAAGAATAAATTAATAAGGTATAAAAATAACAAATATAGATATAATAATGAATGGAAGAGAAAACTTTTCTTAGCTTACTTTCAGGAGACAAGAATAGAAACAGTTAATGAAACTAAAAGGTATCAGTCTTAAAACTAATAGATACTTTTCCCCAGAAAGGCATAGTCACCTCCCAGAACTCCTTTTAGAAAGATCTTTTTGCGTCCAACAGCTCAGCATAATTCAAAAGCACATGAGCACCAAAATGGGTGCTAATACATAGCCTGAAAAACAGATTGGCCTGAAAAAGACATTGATCTATTACTTGCTCCAAACCCTACTCTCCAGAAAAAGGAAAGTGTGCTTACGACTGCTTCCCTTCTTAGTGAATTTGGACTGTATCAGTGTGATGACTGCTCTATAGAAACTACATATGCCTCAGTGCAGACTTACTTTTGCAGAGAGATGCTCAGTAAAAGCAAACAGGAAAAAATGATGCTTTTTTTTGTTGTTCAGATACCCAGGTCTATATTGGACTGATGTAATTATAGACACGGAAAAATATTAATCATTTCAAAGAAGCTGAAAAATTGATTTTACACTGTAACATCTATAGGAAATAATACAGTATTTACCAGCCATCACAAGTTTGATATTGAAAGCCTTTAGAAATGATGTAACAGAAAAACCAAGAATAAATGTTAGCAAATACCTCTTCCTTTTTCTTCAGCGTAGACTCTAACTCCTGTATTGTCTGGTTTAATTCTGTTTTATGTGTGTGGACTGCATTGGCTTGACTGCTCACACACTCTAGCTCAGTCACCTGTTGAAATAAGTAGAAGCAACATATGCAGAATTAATTGCAACAAATTCAAGATATAAATTCTTTGCATAAATACCTGCATTTGAAATATACCCTTAGTTCTGGGTGACTTACGTTGATTAAAATGGTGAAGGTGTTCTTATGAAGTTAGCATAAAATTCCTTTCAAAATTGTTTTGCATAAAATGGTTGCTGTGACTTCTAGTGTTTACTGTAATATATTGGAAACAATAAATTTAGTATGTTGCAGGCTGAAAAAACATTAATTAAAACTTATACTTACTAATTATTGAAAATTTTATGAAAGAAGCTGAATTACCATTTCAGAAACAGTAATGTCTAGATGATTAAACACAGATCTAAGTAACCTCTCCATCTGACACTTTCTAACGTTGCACTATCTTAATCAACTAAGCCACAATGCTCATCTACTTCCTAGCAAGCCAATGAACGTTTCACAGCCTCAATTTCTGACTCAGCATCAAAATGTAATAGCAGAGACTCAGCCACCAATGTACAACTGCCAACTTCTTACTTCCTCTACTATCAGATCTCATCTCTCAGTCAAAAAGCCAACAGCTAATGACACAATTTGGATTTGTACAGTTCCTTTTTATTAGCAGGCAGCAAACACATGCCTGCATGGATGTCTGCACTAAAACCTTTTTCTTTAGTAACAAACTTTAAAAATATTAGAAATACAATAACTCTTTTTTTTTTTCAGAAGATATGTGCCTGTCAATCAGTATATAATCTCCAACAGAGCTGCATTATTTACCTATAGTAACTAACAAATCTGGCCCCAAAACTCATTTGAACAAAGTATATTTCTGTGCTACCCAATTCTGCAATGAAAACCTTAAGGTCTCAATTTACCTTTCTCAGAGAAGTAGCCTCTAGACAGAGGGCATGTATTCTCCAGGACAATTTTATTACCTAGATAAAAGAACATCTTGAGGAATCAAGGTTGGTGCTCTCCAGCACCGATGTGGTCTAGCTAGCAAAGCCACTGTGATGCCAGTTATTTCAGACTCTGAACTGTTTGTAGGCTCAAAAGGTAGATTACTGAGTGCAGGGAGAAGTTGAAGGAAAGCCAAGATGAAATACAAGAAAATTAAAACAAAATGCCTATCAGCTTCTCCTTTCTGAGTCACAGAGCATGAACTTCCCTCTGTAACAGCTATGACAAGTCTAGTTTCTTCTACTGCAAAACTATGATTAGACATTTTTGCACATCAGTCATAAATGGAGAGAAACTGAGATTACAGAAAATTCTTGGGACGGGTAAGGGGAATCAGGGATGAGGAGATAGCTTGGTAACACAACATTCCACCTGTGTCCTTATTGGCTGGAATTGTCCCAAAAGAAATATCAGTGCTCGTGGCAAAAAAGTAATAGCAGTTTGCTCAGTTTTATATGTTGTTAAACTGCTTCTGAGCAGATTAGAGAAGGTTAAGAGCTCGAGTTAAGATCTTGACTGGGCAACACATCTTCCCATAATTATTATCTCTTTGTATTTTAGAGGGAAAAATCCATACACTCTTTTATTAAACTTTTGAAAAATATAATGTCCGACAAAATATCAAAGTACAGTATTTCTGACTTAAGCTCACAATATATCAGAAGAGAGCACAAAACTTTAATTTATTGAGAAATTTGCACTCAGCGACACTGAATGTGTACTCTGTTTCTTCTCAGCTCTAGGCATTATTAATGCAGAGAACAAATGGGAGAAGGAAGATAAAGGCCTCAGAGAAAGCAAATAAATGTAGGTTAATATGAAAAACTGAAGTGATAGATGAGGAAATCTTATACTTAATCAGAAATTACAAATAAATTATTTTTAAAAAATGCAATCAAAATCAAATAGAAGGGCATTTTAGCTTTGTTTCTGTATTTTCAAAAGTGTAAACAATGTGATACACAGAAAAACTATTTCAGTCAAATTTGAAAACAAGTAGAGAATAAAAAATGTTTGGTTTAAAATAATTTAAAACAAATTAAAAAGCAAAGTTTACAAGAAATGCTGTACAATCTGAAAGACAGTTTATCACAATGAATGAGGAAAATTGAAAATAGAAGGGTGAGATAGAATGTAAAATCAACAGATATTTCTAAATAAAACATGACAAAGTTTAAACTGTGGAAAAAGGTACCATAAGAATTCAACTAATAAGACAGTATTAGCAATAAAAAATATTTTATATATAAAGAGGAAACTATTTATATAAATAAGGCTATTTGTAAGGCTATTTATATAAATAGGAAACTAAAGATGAAAATGATAATGCAAAGTTTACTAATCAATATGCATTACTTCCCCGCATACACCACACTTGACAGAGGATATGAGTCTGCTGTAGCTTGCAAACAGATGACTCATGCACCAAAACACTGTATATAAACCTAAAGCACTTAAGGAGTGAATACCACAATTACATTATATATAAACCACATAATATATTATTAAATTGAACTAAATATAGCACCTTGTGTTGGCAGTACAATTCTTCATTTTGGAGACTGGTCTATTATATAAAAGACTATGATCTTGTAAGTGAGCATATCCCTCTGATGCAAACATATCTACACACATTCTTCTCCAGTGGGAAAGATGCTGCGACAGACTTTTCCATAAAAAACAACAACTACATTACAATTGAACATGCAAATTAATTTCTAAACTTTTGTTTCTCTTTGAAATAAATTTTTCTAGAAGCATTTCTATTCAACTTTTCTCAACAAAGGTTCTTTTGGATCAAAAAACAATTTTTCTTCTGAACTGGCAACAGATGGGAGTTGCAGCATGATAAATTCCAATTAGATATTAGGAAAAATAATTTGACAAGAAGGGTGGTCAAACGTTGGAACAGGTTGCCCAGAGAGGCCGTGGGATCTCCATTTTTCAAGACTTGACTCGCAGCCCTGAGTAACCTGATCCAACCCAATTAGTTGGATCTAACTTCAAAGCTGGCCCTGATTTCAATGGGGAATTGGACCAGATAACCTTCAAAATTCTTCTCCATGCTAAATTATTTGGTGATGCTGTGAACTAAGGATGGAGTTCCTTTCATCTGATTAAAAGTATGTTTATAGGACTATCTAGATGATTATCCTATGGGGAAAGACAAGCACTTACAGGACCAAATTCATCTCAGCACCTTAGTTTTCTTAGACTGGGACACTTATTCTTCATGCTTTTGTCTCTCCATGAATTGCAAGAAAAAAAGATTATCATCTTAGACTTGATGTATAACTTCTACATAATCTCAGGTGAGACAGATTCCAATTTGAGGAACATTTTTTTGATCAATTGCAGCTACGTGTTTATACTGAGCTTAACAGATAAAACTAACAGAAAGATAACATGATACAATGACTTAACACTGCTTGCTACCACATATACCATAACCAACAGTCTCCACATCTGCCATTTCAACAGCACATTTTTTATCTGTGTAACAGAGAAGTATCTGACTTACAGTTTCTTTTTGAATGGGACACTATTTCAATTTGAAAGATCAGCCTCCAGCATGCAGATTAGAACAGCTCTTGTATCACACTGTATGGATAACAGATTGAGATTGATTTTTTTTTACATAATCTGCATACTTTTGCCTTGAGTTAGCCAAGTCTATACTTTTCTAAAAGCGATTCCAATAGAGGGCAGTACTATTGATGAACGATCCTGTCGCAATTTACAGGCATGCCCAAAGAGCCATAGGCACAGAGCGTTCCTATATTCTGCGTGAGATATCAACAAGCCCCAAGGTCACACATTACAGAAACATTTAATAAAGGCATGTAAAAGGCGATCAAAAGAGCATAGTGTAGACAATCCCATGTTATAAGATTTTGCATTCCCTCAGCAATACAAAAGAACTGCAGGAAATTTGCTGGGCAAAGTTTATAAAAAATAATCAGCTATTAATGAATGTAGCTACAAAGACTTGGTTACTACTTCTGTTAACCGTAGTATCAGGTATAAGCAAAGTGACATGCTAAAAAATCCTATATTTGTTAATTGTATTTTCCAATAACAGATTTTAAATAAGATTTTACCGAGTGAGAGTAACATCAAGAAAAAGGGATCTTCTACCACAGTGCCTTGCCCATCTTGTCTGATTGGGTGTCCCCATGGCAAGGCAGGCAAATAATTCAGCTGCTGTATTGTCTCAGCTTTGTAACAAAAGCTGTTAATACATTTTAGTATGAAGAATGCTACCTCATTATGTCCACGTTTTAGCAATGAGTTCTTCACTGTAAAACCTGAATATGGTGATCAAATCCACCTGAACTTTTGCACTATAGTAATTATAATATTAGGTTATAATTTAAATAATTTTATCAACAATGACTATTATCATCTATTCACAAACCTGGTGCACAGGTTAGAAGTTCCACCCTTCCAGAGGAGAAGCTTAAATGAGATGACAAAGTGAAAATCTCTCTATACAAACACACTTGTTCCTGACTGGAACAATTATGAAGCAAAGCAATTTTGTCAGCAACTGCCAATTTCTTGAAATGAAAGCACTTTGCAAAAAGCACGAGTTTTAATTACACTTTGTGCATTTTGTCCAGCCAGCTATGACACACGCGGTTATAGTCTAACAGAAATTGTCTTTCTTCCCTATCAACTCATTTGGCTGGGACTTCAAGATCCTCATCTGCAAGTCAGTCCAGGTATGGGACAGCCCAAACAACCTGCCATTTCCCCAGGTTTCTCAAGGTCAAGGGAATTCTTGCTATTCTTCCAGACCTCCAGGTTACAGAATTCACAGAATTCACAGAATGGTTAGGGTTGGAAGGGACCTTTGGAGATCATCTAGTCCAACCCCCCTGCCAGAGCAGGGTCACCTACAGCACGTTGCACAGGACAGCGTCCAGGCGGGTTTTGAATGTCTCCAGAGTGGGAGACTCCACCACCTCTCTGGGCAACCTGTTCCAGTGCTCCACTACCCTCAAAGTAAAGAAGTTCCTTCTCATGTTAAGATGGAACTTCCTATGTTCAAGTTTATGCCCATTACCCCTCGTCCTATCACTGGGCACCACTGAAAAAAGACTGCTCCCATCCCCCTGGCATCCTCCCATTAAGTATTTGTAAGTATTAATAAGATCCCCCCTCGATCTTCTTTTCTCTAGACTAAAGAGACCCAAGTCCCTAAGCCTTTCTCCATAGGAGAGATGTTCCAATCCCCTAATCATCTTCGTTGCCCTTTGCTGGACCCTCTCCAGCAGTTCCCTGTCCTTCTTGAACTGGGGAGCCCAGAACTGGATGCAGTACTCCAGACGCGGCCTCACCAGGGCAGAGTAGAGGGGGAGGATGACCTCCCTCGACCTGCTGGCCACACTCTTCTTGATGCACCCCAGGATGCCATTCGCCTTCTTGGCCGCCAGGGCACATTGCTGGCTCATGGTCATCCTGTTGTCCACCAGGACTCCCAGGTCCCTCTCCACAGAGCTGCTCTCCAGGAGGTCAGCCCCCAACCTGTACTGGTGCATGGGGTTATTCCTCCCCAGGTGCAGTACCCTACACTTACCCTTGTTGAACTTCATAAGGTTTCTTTCTGCCCAACTCTCCAGCCTGGCGAGGTCACGCTGTAAGGCAGCACAGCCTTCTGGCGTGTCAGCCACTCCTCCCAGTTTTGTGTCATCAGCAAACTTGCTGATGGTACACTCTATCCCTTCATCCAGATCATTGATGAATATATTGAACAAAACTGGGCCCAGTACTGACCCCTGAGGGACACCACTTGTTACTAACCTCCAACTAGACTCTGCAGATGCAGCCTGCTGAATGTCTCCTCCTTAGATCCTTGTTCATGGGACTACTAGCCTCCAGTTGGACAGATCCAGCACAGAGCTGAAAGAACCCTTCACAATTTTCAGGATTTGGCTAACTGTAATTGCCATAAGTTATTTCATTTAAGAGGGTACAGCATATAAAAACAAATTGTCTGACATGTTTGCTACTTGACCTTTCCCTTCTGTCACCATAGTCGTGAAACCGGTCTTCACGCAAAAAAAGCATACAGGGCTTTTGTTTGTTTATATTTTCTTAACTAAGTTAATCTCCTTGATATTTTTCTAAGTTAACTGATATTAAAAAACTAATACAACTCCATCAGACATCTTCCCTCTATACATATGTTAATCTTGCCTTCATTTTGTACAAAAATATGTCCTAAACTATGATGATAAATTCATATGAATAAAGATGAATAAATTATACAATATAGAGTTACATGTGAGAAAAGAAATAAAAATATTATAATATTCGTTTTCATAATGCAGCCTTCAACCTTGCATACGCTTTATTCCTCTCTCAAACACTGGCATTTCTGCCCTCATTGTGCTCTAATTTCTGGTTTGCCAAATGACCTCTTCAAAGAAAATTTACAGTGAAGGGAATGGGACCCTGCCCTTCCCGTATGAAAGCAGAGGCAGATCTCTAATTGCGTATAATGAGCTTGATTCTACGATCAGTTTTCTTTAGGTGCAAGGATGAAAGGAAGATGTTGGTCTTTGTTGTATGTGGAAACTACAACAGGGTTCCTTTAACTTACAGATCTGATGTCAAGTTTCTATGGGCTTAAATGCAAGAGGGACTAAAGTGTAATGCTATGGAGAAGGTCCTGAAACAGATGTGATGTAGATGGCAGCAAACGAAGAGTGAAAGCTGGCAGATGTCCTAAGTATCACAGGTTAGATAACCCTGCAACAAAACCCTCAGCAGAAAAGGAACTACTACAAAAGAATTTCCCAAATGAGGAACCCTGCATACTTTAAAGTCATCATTAATTTCTGTCTCAAAGATTAACCTAAAGTCCCAACAATAAGCTTATTTTACTTGAAAATGAGTGAATACAGTCACCAGTACTTCCACCTCAAGGATCATGGCCATTTGCCCCAACTTACCCGCTTATGAAGACGTTCTGCTTCCTCCTGATATGCAGCAAGCTGTTGCTTCCATTGTTTTACATTGGCAGTGGACTCCAGCAGGGCTGCTGTGAGCTTAGCATTATTACCCTTGAGCGTGGCCAGTTCTGCCTCCCAGTGCTTGCTGATTGTCGAACTGCACAGACAGAATGAGAATGGTCAGAGCCCTCAAATCCCTTCTTTCTCTTTTTTTTCTTAGAATGTCTTATACTTTTTTTTTTCAAAATATCCAGGAAAAACAGAATTATGCAAAAATCCTGTGACTGAATGTCCAAATGAGAATACAAGTGCTCAAATCATAAAAACTTTAAATTCAGAAAATATTCATCAACACAGTTTTTTAATATAGATATATCATTATTGGAAAACAACTTCTACCCTCCCAGTTCAACAGGGTACTTTTTTAATAAAATGTTAAGGATGATGAAATCCACATCAGCTTTCCAAAAACAACAGCATGTAATTCTAGAATATGTATATGATTAGTCACCGTTTTAATATATACGTATTGAGAGTAAGTGCTTTTTTAATCTAATACTTTATGAAATATATTGTAAAAAAAGATTTTTCACCAACTTGATTAAAGAGAGCTAATGTAGTGCTTTGGAACTACAGCTTAGATGTCTTAATGCAAATCTTCTATGCCTGAAATATACTTTCTTTATTAAATATCATATTTAATTTCTACTTACAAATTCAAAAGTCTTGAATTTCAATATCATAATACTGTTAATGGGCCTTTCTTCAGTAACATCAGCAGAGACCAAAGATCGAGGACCACAGAGATATTATTGTAAAGAGGAAGCTGATGTTGGGGTCTCTTGAAGTAGCCTATGGAGGAACAATCCTTGCCTACAGTTTAGTTATTCTCTGAGGAAACACAGGACTTTATTTCTCACAGATAATTAGTCTTCCATCATCCACAGACCCTATCCTTGCACTCAGTATGCAAGGGAAAAACATCTCGGACACATCAAGTGAATGCATTAGCATGCAAATAGTTCATTAATGTTTACTTGTATAACATCAATGTGAGGTGCACACATATATCGGAAATACATATAGAAAATACAGCTTACTATTAAAGGCATCATTGAAAATAAATCATGTGTAACTCTGGCCAAAATGATTTTGTATATAGGTTTATGGTGAATTACAAGTAATTAGTATAATTATTTATTATAATAAATATATTTTAATATTCTCATTTTAATTATAAATTATTATTATTATTTTGCATGTAAGTTTGTAGGTTTATTTGAACTTTGTACATATGAACAATTAAACATTCTGCCATCATTTTGCCCACCAAGTTTCTTTTGTCCACTTCATGCATATATGCACCACCCATCCCATAAAAGCATATTTCAAAAACTTTATGATTCCTATAAAAGCTCCTTAGGTGTTCAAAGTCAACCAGTCACTGAGGAACATTTCACTAAAACAAGATGTCTGATTCTTCTCCAGTATTTCCTTCCAAATACACCATTTCATCCCCATGAACAGGAATACAAATTCCTTCAGAAGAGGAATACGGGTTCTTTCAAATTGCTCTAGCATTTCATGATCTATTCAACAAATTAGAAGTTCACCATTGGAAATTTTAAATCTTAAATTGCTAAACTAAAATAATGAAAATCCTATTTCATCAAGTAACACTGACTCACATATGAAAGATGATGAGAATTAATTTTTGTAACAATGTCTACTCTTCTGTTTCTCTGATCAGATTTACTTTTCATTTATAGTAGCACAGCAGATCAAAATATTCCATAAAAAACATGCTAAAAAAATCTAGTTCATTATTATATTCACAATTCCTCCTTGATGTTCTGATCCAGCAAACAACTGTCTACACCAGCAATTTCATGCAAGTTAGTAATCCCATTTAGTAGTCTCGCTCCAGCAGGACTAGTAGCTAACTGTGTATGCATGACATGCATACATGTTTACAAAATGTGACTTACTACTCATTTTCCTCACAGAAAAAATATTTTATATTGATGTAATGCAGCAGATAAAAAGCTTTGTATCCAGGACAGTTACAGGATAAGAACTGTTTGGTCACTTAAAATCCTAATTTAAATTGCAAAAAGGGTAGCAAATGGATTTTTTTTCAGTGCAATAATTTATATACCCACAATGATACAAGGTAAATTTATAAGCCATGAAGATACCAGAACACAGACTCCTAGCTAGTACTGAGTAATAATGCGAGGGGAACTCATGGCGTCTTTCATCTTCACCTTTGTTCAGTGCCTTACTACCCTGCCAAGAAAACAGACAGGAGCTCTGGATTTATTCTGTTACCATAGTATCTTGAGCGCTCTAGTGTAGCAGTGTAGCTTCTCTTCTTTGGAAGTGTAAGGCAAGTGTTTGGGTTTACGTAAAACTCTCTGGTGAATGTGGGAAGGAATTCCACACAAGGTCCTTATGAAATCCTCCATACAAAATAAAGCCACATAAGTGTTCATCCACAGGGGCCCAAAAACACTTAACAGTCCTGGCTGCAATAATGAAAACTGAAAACAGTGCCATGAGAATAAGATGGCAATCTTTAAAGAGTGCCTTAAGATAGCTCCATAAGCTTCTGATAATGCTGAGGTCCCAGGCTGGAAGGCTGAGATCTCTGCAACAGCCTATGCTTGCTATTGCCTACATTGGAATGATGTGACTGTCCTATTAGATGGAAATGATGACTCTGTTGGCACAGAGGATGAGTGCAGCATCCCTCAAGATATTCCTAAAAGCTCCCAAGACGCCTCCTCTCTCATTCATGCCGAGAATGACAGTTAAGCTCCTCACTTCATGTCCTGATTTAGAAGAAATTTTAAACAGGCATTTGGGGAATTTCATCCCTTTTCAAAGATTTCAAAGGGCATCTACTGTGGTCATCTATTAAATGTGTAAAATTACATCATGATAGAAAGGATTTAAACATGATGGTTTTAGAGTTTGTCCTGCTGCTGCTCCAAAGTACCATATGCCCTAGGTAATGAAACAAATGTCTTCAGTCTCTTTCCCTCTCTCTTGAACATTCAAAGCAAAATTGGAAACAGAAAGGGGTTTTGTCATTTAATTATACCTAATTAGGAGTCCTGGACTGAGCGGGAAGCTGACAAAAAAGCAGTAGAGCACATAGTCATCAGGTCCTCTTCCATTCCAGAAAGAGGCAAGAAAGAAGTGTCTTGAGTTGTTCTGCCATTTTAGTCTTCATACAAAGCTGACTGCTTGTACAGGCCCAGTAGATTCAGCCACTCAAAAGGCTCTGAACTTATGTGCATGAGGGACAAAGCCATCTACAGTATAAATAATTTAAGAAAATGACCAGCAAAAGAGGGAAAGCTATGGTAAGAACGACAGCTTTTGTAAGAAGGAAACTTAAGAAACAAAACAAAAATATTTTTTTATGGCTACTGCTTATTGTCTTTTTCTTTGTAGTTGTGATTAACTGGACACATGCAAAAGGAATTCTTACTTGATAAATTGGAATTTATTAAAAAAGGGTAAGCCCTCTCAAAGTTATAATCAAGAGACAATTACCAAGAAATTGCTTTGAGTTAAATATTTTGAGTGAGGCCAATAAAAAACTAATTAATATTCAAAAGAGATCCTTATCCTTAGAGTATTCAAAAGAACTTTTAGCAAAGGAAGATAGCATCCCTGGGGAAAGAAGTAAAAACATTAATGGAGCATGAAAGATCTGTTCTTCCATTTGGGATAAGGAATATCTACATGATCTCAGTGGAGTTACATCAGCATAAAACCAGAACAACATAGCTGTGAATCAGCTCTTTATATCTGAATAATGTGCATAGCTTAAATGACAAATTTGGTCATAGGAAAAAAAAAGAAGGAAGCCCTTGAAGCACATCTGTCGTGGTTTGGCCTCAGCCAGCAATAAAGAACCACACAGCCGCTTGGGCAACTCCCACAGCCGTGGAAAAAGAAATCGTCAGGGCAAAATTTGTGGGTTAAAATAATGCAATTTAACAGAACAGAAAAAGGGAAGATGAAAACGCGATTACAGTCGCCGCGAAGCATACGGTCGCCGCGAAGCATACCGACCGGACGCCCGGGCATGGGTAACATGGGATGGAATACCTACCCCCTGCCGGCTCCTTGGGGAAAGTAACCCCATCCCTGCCGGAACCAGGACATTATCCACCCCTTATTCCATACCATCTGTGTCATGCCCAGATCTTACAGTTCCCATAGTCTGTGGGCCATCCCTGCAAAATGTTCATTGAACTCACTTAAAA